CATTTTAACTTTTTCTTATGTTTTTATTAGAAAGCTAAATGCTTTTTAAAGGTGTTTAGAACTTATCTCGCTGACCACGTCTCTCAGAACATGCTTGGTGACACTCAGAGAAACCAGAGGTTCTTCCAGTGGCACTGCCAGGATCTATGTAATGCATCACAAAATGGGTCCAAACAATGGGTGACAAAGCAAAGAGAATTCTCTCAAGGCAAGCAAGAGAACAGAAAACTGCATGTGAATCACAGAGAATGCTATGGCTCACAGCACCGCTTGAAAGAACTGATGCTCTGCCGTTGTGATAATATCAGTCTCTGTTAATTTGCCTGATTTTACATTTCCTGCTCTGTAACCTGCAGGCAGGAACTTTAAAGGACTTTTGTATACATGGAAGAATTCCTTCACTCTCTTATTGACACTTTCTAATCATCTCTCAGGTTTCTCTTCTTGGAGTCACATTTTCCCTGCTTGTTAGTTACCTTGGAGGCACATGAGAATGGCATAAGGAATCAGAGAAGATTGATTCCCTGAGCTGCAAGTTGTGTCTTTGTTAAACTTTTTGTTTTTTCTTGTGTTTTGACTCTGGCATTCTACTCAAAATCAGCAGAACACTGACAAGAATTTGAAAGAAGTGGAAAAGAGATGGAAAAACTTTCAGTTTTCCTTCCTCAAAATTAGGTATTTTCTAAAGGACAGGCCTTGGCTCATCTCATGCTGTAGAAAATTATGCTGAAAGGAGTGAAATTTACTTGTTGATATATTGCCAGGGAGACCCATCCCTTTGATGGATGTGATGCAAGCCAAGCAGGCTGCTTGGAGGTTTGCAAACTGAAACATGGCTGTGCCCTAAGTGTACTGTGCACCAAAACTGATTGACAAACTCCTCTGTTTGGATGCCTTGGCTCTGCCTGCAGTGGTCTGGACTCCAGACATCATGCTACACAAAGTAGGAGATGGAAACCATCAGCAGGAGAAAACCTGGAGTATTTTTCAGGGTTCAGAACCACTTTTGTAATAATACAGAGTCTCAAATTAAATAATGTCTGCTATACAAGAAACAATGTTTTTAGAAACATAATAGTCTTCATTAGTATCTTTACATAGTACCAAAACAGATTTATAGGATTACTGAAAGTCCATTACCTTTAAAGCTGATCTCGAATGTACAGCATTCATCTAATGAAAAGCAATGGAAAATACACTTGTAACCTTCACAACATATTAAACTTGATAGAATGTGAAGATGTGGTGTAGTCTATCTTAAACTAGAGAGCACAGTCTTTCTCTATGTCTCTTTCTTTTTTATTTTCCTTTTATAACTGGATAGTGCAACGATGTACCATAAATACTAATAAAAGTTGTTTTGTAGCACTTGACATTTTGGAAATGTTTATAACACGTCTTAAAGGGATTTAAATATTTTGAGATAACAATAAAAACAAGTCTGTATTATCAGAGGTAAACTGGTAGAATCTCTAAGAGTATTTCCACCTTGTAACATTTTCAATAATAGATTAGTGTCTAAGAAGCAAAAGAATTTAGAGAGGTATTACACATTTAATTTGCTACTGTGGGCATGAAACTAATGAATTAAAGTACCTAGGTTTGTATCTACTTTGAGCATAATCTTGGGTTTTGGGCAAAGACTCTCCTCTGCAAAAGCATTTTCTTAGGATGGTAGAGAAATAGATTTAATTCCTCACATAAATAATTGTTTCTTGACCATAAAAACTGAGAAACTGCATATCCATATTCTCCAATTTTTCAGTCTAAACACGATAGGCAAAGGCTATAAGTTACAGAAGTTTATTTTGAGACATAAAATTTGATGTCTTAGACCATATGAGGTCCTGTACTAAGAGCATGACCTGATTAATGCAAAAACTTTCTCTTAATTACTGACTGTTTACTATGAGTTGGCTGGAAAACATACTTATGATTATCACTTCATTAGTCAGCTGAAGAAATTGCTTGGTTTTAGATTAAAAATGAGAATAATCATTACTATCAGGGCTAGAAATGCGCCCAACACAAGTTTTTGTGGGGTGGGTACAGAGGAGGACATTCCAGCCTGAGCCTCCTCCTGGCCTTGGTGTCTTGGGAAAAACTTGAGTTTATCATTTTCTTAACCCTGTTCTGTTCCAGTAGGAGTTTCACATCTTGCTTGTCATAATATGACTAAAGTGAAGAGCTGATAATTTATTTGAATTCTTATAAGGACAAATCCAATGGTGTGATACTTCTAAAAAGACTCTGGACTGACCTTTCTGGTGATGACTTTCTCATAACTTTACTAGGAGTGTACATAGGCATGAACATATACTTTTCAAAAAGTGATGTACAAACAGTAAAAAGTATGAAATATTTCTGGTTACATTATGATTGCAGGAGGATATGTTTTGAGGTATTTTCTGTATTTCAGATTGGGTGACTTGTGGTCAAATCACCTATGTTTTTTTTTCTGTCCTTTATTGAAAGCCTGGAAGGGTTTTAACCAGAATATGAAAACATAATAGGGCAACTCTCTCCAAAGCTATTGCAAAATAAATCATTAGCTATGTTAAATTTCTTGAAGCTCTCAGGTGTAACCCATATTTCCTCAAATGCCATATTTCAATCTGAAGAATCGGAAACCAGGCTTTGAATCACAATTGTCCAAGTACTGTGATTTTGTTTTTAAAAATGTTATGAGATACATTTGGTCTTGGGTCAACAAGGAGCTTTTAACTCCCCAAAGTATTACTTACCAGTAGAGTTAGGGATTTTAATGATTTATTTATTTACTCTTTCTGCTTTGCTTTTAGATGACCAGTTCTGTGCTGGTTTTTCACTCATTCCATGTCAGTCATTCAGACCTCTGAAATGTTTTTCAGATTTGTTATTGATATATGAACTTAATTTGTTGACATGAATTTTATAGTTTAGCTGAAAATGTTGCTAATTGGCAAAGGGGAAAAAAAGAGGTAAAATAATCACCAATGAAGAACCTCTTTACAACAAGAGTTGAACATGCAACAAACGCAACATTGCATTTAATTACACTCTACATTTCATGCAGATCTTAGAGACAACTTTGAAAAGAGAGTCTTACTTTCAGTTGCTACTATTAATGAAACTGCTTGTTTCTGAGCTGTGTGAACTCCAGTGATTGAGAAATTAATTAGAAATAACTGTATAGATTAAACAAAAAATATATATTTAGGAAGAAAATTTTATGGTTTCCATGCTGCTTCATGCTACAGTTGTCCTGGTTTCTTTGATGTTTAGCTGAATCTTTGTTTCACTAAAATAGAGATGTGTCATTTTGAATTTTTTGTACTGCTACTTAAAACATAGTGCCTTAAGCTAAAAAAAAAAATGATGATGGACTGTATTGAGAGAGAAATATTCAAGAGTAGAGATGAAAGTTAAAGATAGTGCCTGTCTGTTTTTGTGGGTAGGTCTTCTTTATTTATTATTGTATTCTTTTTTTTTTGTTTGTTTGAAAATGAAAAATAGAAGACCAGAAAATCAGTATCTGTATCTAACCCAATATCTATCTCTGTACCTAAGTGTGTGATGTTAGGTGGTCATTTCATTCTTAAACTGAGTTGAATTAATTGAAATTTCATTCTTGAAGCAGCATAGGTTAACAAAAGATGTCATAGAAAAGTCACCAGCTTCTACAAAGTGAGGCTATTATCCCACGTCCTTTGCTCCTCAGCATATCACAAATAAGACCATATCTTTTTTTTTTTCTTAACTGACAAGCTTGTTTTAGAACAGGTTATTCAAGAACAACTTAAAACTTTTAAAATAAAATATTTTTTACATCCACTTAAAGAGTAAGCATTTTTCAATAACTAATTTACAGGAATATTCCTTAGAAGTGGATGCAGAAGGAGAAATAATTTCCATTTCCGTGATTTTCACAATTAGCTGCAGTATGTATTTTCAGCTTCTACAGTGTATTTCGAGTTTCATAATTCAAATAGGACAATCAGAAAGAATAAGTGCAATCTCTGAGAAGAAGTTAAAAAAACTGGAGAAGGACCTTTTCAAATTCTGTCAAAATATTTGGATTCTTGCTGATTCTAAATAGGCCTCTAACTTGGCCATGCCAATTCAAGTACTTTGTCAAATTATGACTTTAATTTTCACCTGTATTTGACATAATTGTCCAGAGCCAGCCATGTTTAAATCCAGCCTTATTCTTCCTCCAACTCTGCTGTAACTGTAGTTAATAAAGAATTCTCAAAATTATTACTGAAAAGCTTCAGAAGTCACTCTTACTGTAGGCTTTTAATCAGTCTCCTTTTTTTAAGCCCAAAGAATGCCTTGAATAAGCTTTCATAACAAAAAAAAAAAACATTTTTAATGTTATCATAGCTTCTTAAATGAAAAGTATTTAATTTTTTTTAATGTTGGAAGTTTTTGGAAAAGAAAGCTCAAAATTCTATTCAGAACCTCTTTTTGATGAAATTAAATATAGATAATTTTTTTTCTGCACATTAAAATTTATAGAACTCCAAACGAGGTTAAGTGATGATGGAGGGAGAGAAAAGGAAAATTTTTTTTTGTGTTTCATGTGAAAATACAAGCCAGTGGAGTGGCTGCAGTGAGATCTGTGGTGCAGCAGTGCCTGTGCTGGCTGTACCCCATCTGCACTCCATTCCCATTTGCTGCATTTACAGGCACTATTCCCACAGCACTCTTCTCACAGCTGTGGTACCAGGCAGCTGAAATGTGAGCTGCAAAGTTGTGTCCTGCTTACAAATGCATCTTTCCACCCCTTCTCCACAGGCAGCAGTTGTCTTACTTTGGAAAAGAAGGGATAACAGCAAAGGGTGTCAGGAGCTGGGACAGACAGCAGCTGGAGCAACGGTTCAGTACATGATGTGAGAATTTTCAAATATCAAGAACTACTTAGAAGTTTTGCCCAGAGAGTATAAAGAGCTCTAAATGAAATTGAAAACTATTTTTGAACAGCTGCTATATTTTATATATTTGATCAGAGATTCTGCCCTGATATTACTACCAAAATAATTTAATTATGAATTTCAGATCTTTATGTATCAATGCAGCAAATAGTTTATTTTAGACTTTATTTGGAAGTAAGTCTGTGCTTTATGTCTCATCTTTGAGTGAATTTGTGATTTTCCAAATAGCTTTGTAGATATGACCAATTCATGAATGAATTTTCTGATCTCATTAAAATCAGTAGATGCTTTTCCATTAATTTCAGGAGTAAAAGCAGTTTTTTATCAACTCTATATCAGCTAGCAACTGTAATTTTAATTTGCAATAAAGGAGTGTTAGATTATTATTTACATGGTTCAGTACCATAGTTATTCCACTGACCTTTCAATTAATTCTTGATTTTCATGGTAAAGGTTTATTCACTTTTAATTTTTACTGTTTTCTCATTTATAGTGATCAAATTACACCTTATATTTCCATTTTGCAATGCAATTCACAATCTCTCCACCTACAATGTACTTTCTCCATGAAATCTGATTAAAAACAAACAATTGAATTTTGATTAATTCTTGCAGCATTTCAAAGGACCAGAACAGTAGAGACAGACAGTAAAATTTGGAGGCAGTATAAGTTGTAGATGACCTCAAAGCTTTGAATCACAAATAGATTTTCTGAACTTCAAATGACATTATAGCTGTGCCATGAACAAATCTGTCAGTTTGCTTACCAGCTGATCTGTCCTTTGTCCATGCAGGACATCGATGTCACTGAGATATCAGCAGGTCCTGTGACTCTACTTTGCATGTAAGAAGACAGAAATTATGCAAGCTATCAAAAATGCAGCACAGTCATTATGGCTTTTGCTTGCTGCAGTTACAAAATTATTTATATAGATTATACCAGAACTATAATTTCACTTTCTAACAATGCTGGTTTTGGCATACAAAATAGTATTCCTATAGTGTGGTAAAATTCTTAAATATTCCATGATGACTTTGTGACAAGTAATTCAGAGGTAACCATATAAAAAATGTAGACCTATAAAATATATGTGTGGCTGTAGTATGATCTAAAACCATGTTAAAATTCAATCTAAGGAGGTGTAATTTTAAAAATGAAACAAATTTTCAGTAGAATTATGAGAAAATTGATGTGGTATAAAGATACACAGGCATGAGGTAATATTGACTCCCAGATCATATTGCTAAACCAGAATATTTTGATATGAACCACTTTTAGATTAGTCAAAGTTCTTACTCTTTCAGGGTAATAAATACCAGTAGAAATGCATAGTTTTCATATTTACTTCAGAGTGTTCTGAATTCAAACCAAAAATAAGACATGATTATATTAGATTATGTACTAAACACAATCAAGATTAAGTACTAGTTTAGATTAAGCTAAACAGGAGTGAAACAGCAAATGTGTCGCTTACCTGTGGGTACTGGTCTTGAGAACCTTCTATTTTCTGTTGAATCTTTCTTAATCTCATTCCCTGCACTAAGCAGAACCACAGGCATTCTGCCATCACAGTTTGCACCACAATGCACTGGAAGATAAAACACACATACCAGAAGTTCTAGGAGAAAAACACAGCCAAATTTTTACTATTTTTCTTTTTTACTTCATTAGGACCTTTCTGTTCTTCAGCTATTAAAATATGTTATGAAAAAGTTAATCCGAATGGTATGCATTAAAAAAAAGTTAATAAAAGTTAATTTGAATGGTATGCATTTATACAATGCTTTTTTACCCATACTTTCCTTGTTCTGCAGGATAGCAGGTCCTCCTGATGGAATTATTAATGAAAATTGGCTTTGGGGGGAAAAATTCCTTTTTTTTGGAACAAATCTACAGATCTTGAGAGATGATTACAACCTGGTCATTCTGTAGGTCCCAGGCAATTTTTGCACTTGTATAATCTCTAGCTTTGAACACTTTTGTTGGGTTTCCATTGCAAGATGATGAGTGATAAAAAACAAAGAGGATGAACAGCTAACTATATTTTTTCATTAATCCTCACATAAGATTCTATCAAATATCTTAATCTCAAACTATGGAAAAGATTGAGAGATTCTTTAAACAGCACTACCATTGTAGTTCATGCTGAAAGGAGTGAAGTTATGAACTTATTTTTTAGATCTACATTATTCACATATTTCTTCAGAGCAAGAAGCCAAGGACAGACGAGAACTAAATCTATTCACAGCTGGAAGCTTTGACCAATAATGTACCTGCATAAAAGTGAACACACACTACTAGGAAGAAAAAGATTTTTTCCTGCAGTTATGGGGAATTTCAATGAACTTAAAAATCATGAGGTGCTTATTGTAAAAGTGAAGCTGAGTCTCACTTCTGGTTTTTTGGCAGCATGATTTGATATGTCATTTTCTGCAGTATTTTTTTCAAATGAACCCCAGATAAAGGAAGAATCCAGCACATACAAGAAGAGGCCACAGGGACAATAAATATTGACAGAACTGGTATAGTTTAATTAGGAAAATTTGGTGGCTTTAAGAATTTATATCAAGCTTGATAGAAATTCTTTATATCAAGCTTGATGTAAAGTGAGGCATATCAAGCATAAGGAATGGCAGAAAGAAGTATCTGTCCTCTTCATCCTCTATTATACCACAGCTTCTTGATAACTGAAGATCACGTTCCCTCCTTACTGAGACAGAAGCCTTCATGGAGTTCACTGATCTCATTGTTACTCTTTAAAAAATATGAGTTTTGACGCACTACCTGTTATAAGGAGGTTGCAGCAAAGAAGACAGGAGTTAAAAACTGACGTCAGGCTAAAGATCTCTGTGAAAACTTTGTTAGTTGTTCAAGGTGAAATGGCATAACTGTTATTATAAGAAGAAAAATTCCATTCAGCATCCCCTGGCACTGCTGTGTTCTCTATATCTGCCTCAAGGTTCTATGTATCATCAGAGGGAATTTAACACTCACTACTCCAGCGCTAATAACCGTGCTTCTGGATAACAGGAGAGAGATGCTGAAACACATCTCAACCCCAGAATGTTTGCTGTCATCTTTTGTGCAAACTCGTGTGCACGTGTATGTGTTTTTAGGTACACCCATAGGTATGCATGTGTGTGCACACATATGTACAAATACACACAAACACGATGCACCAAATCAGACTATGAACCACAGAAAAGTTGTGTGGTTTCTCACTTGCAGAAGATGTAAAGTATCTCCCAGCATGAATCATGAAGTGTGAACAAAGACTTTCCGTGGAGTAGCTTAATGTACTAAAAATCCAAACTTGTAACTACAGAGCCGTTTGTGTACCCATATGGGAGAGCTGTGCTTTAAAGAACTTGGTTTGTGCTGTCACCTTATGCAGCCATTTGAGTGCTGTGAAATATCTGGTAATTGTGAGTGAAATACGTTGCAATCCGGATGTCTTCTCATCTCAGTGGTGACATGCTCTTGCATATTGTGTGATCTGGAGGTGTACAAGTGAGGAAGTGGCAGCGTTTTTGGCAGGAGTGCTTTGTAGTAGAGTAGGTTCAGGAATCTGAGACTCATATTCAAAGTGAAGTGTGGATTTCAGTCTGGTTTCTCACACCTCATATGCATTTTGAGCTCTCTATTTGAAATAGATCTACTTATGTTTACAGAATTGAATAATCGTTGATTAAAATGAACCTTGGCTTCCCATGGTTCTGCAGTGTACCTTAGCTGTTGTCAATTATTTGTTGTCCAATTATTCTTCTGATTGCAGTTAGAAACTCCCATCCTCAGCTGAGAAACTCTTCTTGATTATGTTTGCATTGAAACTTGATCTGTGGAAAGTTTAACTTTCAGCAAATTGACATTTCTGTAGAAACCCACCCCCACAAACGTCATAAAAGAATTCCTGACAATTTTAAACTACAAAGTAGAGTTCAGGAAGAGAGACACATTTACAGCCTGTCATAGAGGTTATGTAGGAAGTTCCTTTATTTAAAGATTATAGCATTTAATTTTTGATTATATGCGTAATTTAGAATTCAAAATGAAATACCACAGTGATAAATAGCAATCTGTACAGAAATGGCAATAGGAGTGAATGACAGGAAAAGGTTAAATGGTAAGCTGACACTAATTTTCCACCACATACTTTATGTGTTATAAAAAGAAAATTCATCACCAAGATAAAATCACAACACAAAAGATCAGGCAGGTAATACAAAAGGTGAACCAAAATTCAGTGACAAAGTTCAGATACCTTCCCACTTCAGCAGGGATTTGATGTAAAATCCAACAAACATATCTTTAATTGTTAGTATTTAAAAGATTTTAGTCACTGATAAACTCTTAATCATTCACTGAGGACAAAATTCTTCACCAACTTCACTTGTTATTTCTGCTAATCCAAATTGGGTTTCAAGGCTGTCACTGCATAAATTCTCAGTCCCAAGGGCTGGGAAAATAGTCTAATTCTGTTTTCATTTAACCTTGCAAAAAAGTACATTTTGTGATACTGATCCAACATTTAGCAATCATTCTCCTTGTACTGAGAGTTCCTGCAGGCTGTCACATTGCAGGAAACAGCAGAAGAAGCACAAACCACCTCAGATAAAATTATTCAGGCTCGTTATTAACTGTCAGTAGTGTGACCTGGCTCACTTGTGGTTCACAACAGCTGCTCTCCCTATGGTTTATACAGACTTGTAGAGGGACAAGTGTTTGTCTTTGCTTTTGCCTTTACCTTTGCAAATATTAGAAAAATCCTTCAGCTTGCTATGTTTCTTCCTTTCATAGAAACATAAATAAGGTACTGATACAGGTAAGGTGGTGTTTGGTTAGTGTTATAAGGAGGAGGCAATAACAATAGATGGTAAAAATAGCTGATGCTATAAGGTGATGCCAAATTTATTGCAAGGATGAACAAATATATGTCCAGACAGGTGGAAGTTATACATTGAGCAGGATTTTAGAGGATCTCACTTTCTCCCCACAAAACTTTTCAGCTGAGCTTTGCAATCAAGTCTGGGAAAATATAACGATTTTTTTCCATTTTTTTCCTTCGAGCAAATATCTTTCTACAGAAAAGTCTAAAGTTTAATTAAGAATTTGCAGCACAAGCCTTTTCTAATTCTACCCAATGTGGTGGATAATGGGGGTTTGGTTTTTCTATATTCTACATTAGAACATGTTGTAGTACAATGCCAAGTTAATTGGAACTGAATTATTTAGCATGAAACTCCATAGGTTTGAATTCCAAGATGGAAAAGGTTGATTTCTTTTATTTTAGCTTTTTATTTCTGGCAATTGCCACTAAAAGATAATTCATTTAAACATTTGGATGAGGTTACTATTCAATTTTTTTAAAAAAATATTGTGAATGGAAAAAAATATCTGCCATCTCTGGCCAGCCAAAATTTTATTCACCTCATATCACGACCACTCTTACAGTTTGGTCAGTTTACTCCTAAAATAATTTGTTTTCTCATATACAATCATTGCTTAGGACACAGCATAGTTTGAAAAGGATTACCCAGGTTATGTACAGTCTTTGACATGTATAAATAAATTAAAATTGTCAGGAGGGCTAAGCAAAATAGTACATGTGTGCAAATACTGAAAATGCTTTACTTGATACACTGAGGTTTCTAAAACACTGCACAAGTTGCCCACTGCCAGGGGATGGCCCCACATTGCCTTTATCCCTGATGGGTAAGTTGGAACTGTATTCCTTTGTTCTCTTTCCATCTTTTGAACAAAGGTGTCACCCAAAGTCACAGTCAGAGGGCTGGCAGAAGATTTCATTACCTGGAACTTCGTTGCAAATCAAGTTTTTCTCAGAGTTAGGAAAAACTGAATTTTGAAGGGCAAAAATATCTGCATCCCAAACTTTCCTTAAAAATAGGTAACTTCTCAGACATCCTTGGTAAAACAGAAAAACTCTTTTTAAAACCATAGAACAAATTAGCTCATAATAATAATAATAGACAATAAAATTTCTAAATAAAAATATGCATTTTTAATTTAACAGAGCGTTCTTGCAGTGATAAAGTTTTGATGATCATCTTTAAAAGGTAGTACATGAATGTATTTCTTTAAAAAATACATTTAAAGCCACCTCTTCTCATAGGTTTCAGATCTTATATTTAGTGCTATTTTCTGGTTAAAAAAAAAAAAAAAGAAATTTTTCCAAACAACATTAATTCATCCATCTTTCCTTAATTTACTCAGCAGTCCCCTTGCTAGTTACATTTCCACTGACTGGCCCTTCCTTTTTTAATTTTTGATTTGAACTTGAGGACTGTAGGAGGTGAACTTGAATTTGGATAAACTTGAGTAATTAACCTTCCTTACTGTACCTGTCTTTACTAAGTATTTTAGCATTAATTAAATTTTATTAGGTGGGTTTTTTGTTCTTGTTTTGTTTTTTATTTCTGATAATATATATTCAATGTGATTGTATAAGCAAAGTTAGTTTTATATATATATACAAATGACTTCTGGGGAATAGTACAATGATCACAATTCTGAAAATCTGATACACTTGTGTCAAAGTACTTTTAGTATATATGTTACTTGAACTTCAGTTTTCTTTCTGAAGGTCTATAGCTCCATGACTGTGAGGGTGACATTCTTGGAAAAGCCTGTAATTTCCCTCGGCACCAGGCTTCATTTGTTCAAAATATTCCATTCAGTGATGCCTTCCTCTCACTATCAGGATTCTGATGTTTTCTGACAGTGATGATGGTGGCAGAATAAATTCTGGGGTTCTCTCCTTGATTTATTGATTCAATATCATATTTTTCCTTTAACATTCATAGCTGTCCTTAGCAGAAAATCCTTGCATTCATCTCTGTGTATCCTTCATTATAGTCAAGAAAATGTCTTAAGATGAAATAAGGATGGGATCCTAGCTTCTCCCTGTCCTATAATAATTTGGAGTTTCAGTTTAGCATCTTCACATATGTTTTGATCTCTCTGTGTTTCTTATTTCTTAGTTGAAACAAAAAGACTCTATCTCAGATTCACCTTTTCTTAAAGGATTCATGCCCCTTTTGCCAAGTAAAAGAGCTGAGATCTTAAATACTGTTGTATGCAAAATAATTTTTTTGTATCTTCATAAACCAGTTCTCTAAAGGTCATGGGAAGACACTACATACCACGAAAAAGGCATGGACAAGAGCTTTGAGGTGAAAGAAGAGGAAGTAAAGGAAATACTGGAAGGTGGGAGATATCAAGGATGAAGTAAGGACATGCGAAGACTGACTTGGACAAATTGCAGTTCAGACTGGGACTGCAAAAACATCTAACCATCACTTCTTGTCTTTCTCTTTTCCCCAGCAGCCCACAGCTACAGGTCCTCCAGGCTTTCAGAACTGGCCCTACTGATGAAAAACAGCAACTATCATCAATCATGCTGATTCAAAGTCAAGTACAGTGAAGTAGGAGCATTCCCAAAAATCTTATGGCTACTGCATCAAAAGCTACAATAAGCATGTGTATGGACATGTGCAATTCATCATTTAAAATAGCTGGGGTACCTCTGGTATAGGTGGCTAAATAAAACAAGCATCTTCTATATATAAACTGAACATACCCAAGTGGATGTGTTTATTTTTAAAGGAAAATTATGACTATTCCCATCAGTATCTTTGAGATCATTTTGCTAATACTTTATCTAGTTTGTGATTATAATTTTTTCAGGTTAAAAAAAATATCCTAGAGGTCACTGAGAATCTAGCAATTAAATGTTCAACCTTGCTTCTATTCATACTGAAAGTGAAAAATTTATCATGATAGCACATTAGCTCCAGCTGTAGAACCTAATTTTCCTGAATGCCTAGAGAATTTCAAAGACAGTTTCAAGAGAAGTAATATCTGTGGAAGTAAGGTACTAAAAGAATACTTAGAGTTACCAGTTATATAATATTTTAATGCATTTATCTGAGGTTTAAATGTCTGTAATGGGAGAATTTTGACTCTATAGTCTACTTATTTATTTTTCACTATAACTGATAGTTAAGAAGACAGATATACAGCTATACCATATTAATTGCCTGTTGATTTTGTGAAAGAGTAGTCTAAATATAATAAAGGGATTTAAATAATAATCCAGAACATTTAACCACGAGAAGGTTAAAGTCTACAGAATACATGAAGTGGTTGCCCTTGTGCAGTCACAAGGGAGTTGTTTCCCTGGTTTTGGTAGTGCTCTCTAATACAAAGCTGAAACCAGTCCTTCACACACCCACCAGAGAGAATTCAGGATATGGACATGAAGCAAAGCTAACAAAGATGTGAAAAAGAATAGTGGTGTTTAAAATAAATATTTTAGGTCATAGCTTCTAGCAGACAGTTTTGTGCTACCTTGTAGTCAGCTTCTTATTCTTTTATTTGAGTGAAAAAAATGCACTCAAAAAGATAAATATGAAAAATGAGAAAATTAACATAGTGTAACATTGACCTGTGTAGCAGTCAGATAGAGATGTAAATAATTTACTCAGTATACATGGTCAAATAAGGTATATTTATTTCAGATCCCTTTGCCATTTAAACTTTAAGCGTTTTTACTGAAAATATTGCTAGGCAGAGGTATTGTGCTTTTTTCTATGGGAAATAGACTATTCTTTGGATATGATCTTCTAGTATAAGAAAGAAACATTTAAAATACAGGGAAAAATAAATAGAAATATAAAATAAATATAACATATTTATAAATATATTTAAATATAAAATAAGCAGGAAGGGAAGGTTTGAATATCATTACAAAATTATTTTATCACACTTTTGATGCACAGTTCATATCATCCCAGACTCCTAAGAAAGGAAAGGAATGGTTTTCCTTTCCCCCCTTCCTCTAAACTCTATTGTTGTAATCCTAATATCTATTTAAAATATCCTAATATCTATCTAAAAATATCTATTTCCACCAGATATTGAGCCTTTTATTTTCTGTTGCTTTTGTGCTCAGCCATTTTGTCAAAGGAGCTGGTGGAGACAAAGTGCCTGCTTACAGTCCTAGAAATAAGTCTCTAGACCTCCTTTAAGGGTGAATTATGTTTATACTTGCAGGCTAGAAGGTGTCAGAACTAAGAGAGGAAACAGGAGGGATGTAGGGAGTCATACATATTCAGACATATTTTCATTATCTCCCTGTCTGGATGGTGCTCACTCTGCTGACACACCCTGATGTCTTTGTGTCATCAAAATGACAAGCCTGAAAAAAACTGGTTTTTGTCTTTATCTGAGACATACATTTCTCTAAGGTGGACAATTCTACAGGTCTCTTTCCTTGCAGGCAGAACCATAAGGCAAAGACTTTATAGCCAATGAGAACAAAACATGAACTAATGTGATGTGCTCTGGAGTAGCCTGTGGTCTTGAGCTGAGAGAAATATTTCTTTTGCATGTTATGGGGTTCTTCTGCTGGGATACAGAGCAGCCATGACTTGTTACCACAAAGAAAACTACATTATTTTAAAACTCTTGTTAAGTTTAACATATTTAAAAGAAAGACTTAAAATTAAAATTTTAAAATTTCAGAATTGAAAATTGCTGAAAAATATCTTCAAGAAAATTTCTGTTGGAGGGACTAGTAAAGAGACTTTTGCTCATCGCAAGGTTTGCCACCTTCATAGCCAAACACCTGGGTTCCTTGGACTCACGAACCCTTTTATGGCTTGACTTCCTACCCCTTTTTTTTTTCACTGTCTCCTAAAAACAATATATCAAGGAAATCTATGGTATCTCTTTCTTACAAAATAAGGATTTAATGGGTAAATAAATGTTCAGGGAACTGTACTGTACTGTACTACCTACTGAAATAAAAGTTGGTATTTTCTTTTACAAATCACTGCAGAAATACATGAATTTCAGTACTCCAAGCCTTTTGACAAAACTGAGGTAAAATTAACCATCTGAATTACTATATATCTAATCCCATATATTAAAACACTACAAGGACTGACATGGCTAAATCTTGTGCCTCTGTGCAACAGAATATTTTCACTCTGTGGCAGCCCATGCAAATGACTTTTAATATAAGTTTATATTTTTATACTATTAATGTTTATACATATGCAATAAACAGGCAAAACATTGAGTGTGGCAAGTTTTAAAATACTCATGGGGCTGAGATCACCACCTCCATGAAGAAGCTATATTATCATACTTTATATTTACTTAATGCCACATCTAACACTAACTTCACTAAGAAAAGGGTGAAAAATAGAGAAGTGTTTCATATCCTCATTAGATATGACCTATCTGATAGACAAATGTGAAATTTTGAAGAAATATGCATAACAAATAAAATATTATTGATATGTCTCCTGCTCAGATTGCATGGAAAAGCTGTACACTTCTCAAGCAGGAGCTTAGCCACCACTACCTGGAAAATCTCACCACCCTTCCTCCCCCTGTTGCTGAGAGAGTGGTTTTCTGTGTGTTTACCTTGACAACCATTGGATGAATCCCATAATATACAGTGCCTAGCACAACATCAGGAGGAATGGACTTCCCTTGGTCAGAAGACACCTTTGCATAAAAGAAACCTCAAAGAAAATATTAATGTTAATATTAAGTTTCACAGAAAAAATGAATTCAACATAAGAGGTACAAAGGAGCACAAATACAGCGTGGGAATGGCTCCTCACTGGCACCTTATCCTTGGCTTCATAAACATGAAATGTCTGAAGCAAACATCTGCCCATCTCCCAGTAGTCATAACCCTGCCAGTAATATTTATCATCAGTTTTGCCTCCAGGAAGGAATCTGATCAATAAAACATATTTTTAAACTGCCTGCTTAGCATAGTATGAACAATGCCATTTAGCATTTACATATCAGTTTATGCTTGTGCTGCTGCACACACACTGACTAATTAATCAATTAAAACAAAAGAAAGCCTTGCACTGTCTCTGTCTAACTGGTGAATTAAAAGCAGAGGGGTTTTTAGCAATTCAGTTTAATAAACTGAAAATCTCTCCATTAATGTAGCTTGACTTGTACCCCTGCCTTTTATATTTTGTATAAGTTTGTGTGCTTATACTAGTACTCTGTCCACACAATATTCTGAGTACTAATTTAACAGCAATGTCACTTACAAAGCTACGATCCTTGTCTCAGAGCACTCAGGAATGTGTACAATTACATCTCAGTGACTTAATGTCACAGACACAATGAAAACAGTGAGGCAAAGAAATCATTCATAAGGATACCCTGATTGAAGCAGAACAGGTTTTCCTGTAATGGAAGAGCACATAGCAATGAAATAATGCTTAAAAATTGAAAGAGCTCTTCTTACATTCAGGAAAATATCTTGAATATTGTGAAAAAGAAGAGAGAAAAGGAAAGACATCTCTAAGAGGAGGAAGTCAGTGCCATTGCTTTGGAGAAACAGCAAGGTTGAAGGTCAACCTAAACTGTGACAGTGTCCCATGAATCTGCAGGTGACAGTGCCAGAGTAAAATTAACTGTCACTAACATGGACTTAAGCATGACCAAGGCCTGTTCTGAAGAGCTCCCTAAAGACCAGCTGGATCTTGTAGAAGTAATCATCAGAAATATCCAGTTTCTATTAATGTAAGGTGTGATCGCTTAGCTCTCTTTTTCTGGAATAAATCTTAGTGGAAGTCTTACTGAATGTCTGTCACCAGCTCTTACCTGCATGCCAAGGACTGATTGTACAAGTGCCTCAAAAGAAGACAATAGCTGTTTATCTAGTGTGGTGTTAACCCATGCTGACAAGGAAGATGAATGGGCCAGTAAGTAATTAGAAAATTCTTTTTTATGCATTGTTATTTTTCATGCTTAAGAAACTTTTTTGAATGACATATTTAATTTTTACCTCATATCGACTCCTTGTTAGATTTTGTGTTGAATAGAAGATTAAAGTTCATTCTCGATGAACTTAGCAAATTCTGGTTTCAATTGCTAATGGAAATTGTAAAATGCTTTAAAAGTGCACATCAATACATACATATGTTCCCTCTCTTGCCCTGGAAATAACTAGTTTCTTGCTTCTCAGTACAATGAGTATGGGCATCCAACCATCTTAAAGTGTACCCCAAAGTGAGAGCACTGGAAATTTTCGGCCAGTCTGACCAAGATAGTAGCTCATGATTCTCAGAGAAAATTAATGGTCCTACATCTCCAATTCTGTAGTGTAGGCCGGTTGCCCCAGGGCTGACCAAGTGCTCCACAAAATCTCATCATATGTGTTTTGAAGGAGCACTGCTAAAGGAAACAAAGTTAGCATTTTAAGGGCTGAAACAGGAAAACAAATACTGGTGAATATGTTTCAAGAAAGGAAAGCTCAAACTAAGTCAAGACAGTAAGATCAATGGATGGCTGGAAGGTAGACCGTAAATGGAGAACAGCAAAAATGAATAATTTTCAATATAAAATTGTGTTCCATCAATATGTCAATAAATGTTTTAATGAATTGAAATGGCAAGCTTCTGTGGATTAGCTATCACTAACATACAATAGAAAGCAGGAAATAAGTAGAAAGTGTCTGTAAAAACTGAGATTGAAGCATTAAATGACACAGTGTGTTTTGTCACTCAGTATTTTTGACACTGTTTT